CCCTCAGGAACATTCATACAAAAATTCTCAGTAAAATACTTGCAAAGAGAATATAAGAAGACACCAAAAAGATCATCCATCATGATCAAATTGGCTTCATCTCAGAGATACAGGGATAGTTCAACATATGAAAATCAGTAAATGTGATCCACCATATAAACAGACAGAATGACAAAAAAAGACATAATCATCTGATTATATGTAGAAAAGACCTTTGACAAAATCCAACACTTCTTCATCATAAAAGTTCTGGAAAGACTATGGACATGAGAAGTGTATCTCAACATACTAAAGGTAATGTATAACAAGACCACAGTGAACATCTAACTATATTGAGGTAAAGTCAAACAGTTCTATAAAAACCAGGAGCAAGACAAGGATGTCAACTTTTTCCAAACTTTTTCAGTATAATACTTGAAGTCTTAGAAAACCAATTAGACAATTGATGAATATCAATGGAATAAACGAAAATGGGAAGAAGACAAAGTATATGTATTTGAAGATGATGTGATTATATATACAGGTGAACCTATAAATAAATCCATGAAGAAATTCCTGCAGCACATAAACACTTTCAGCAAAGTATCAAGATACAATAATAGCACACAGTAATCAGTTAGCAGAGAAAATCATATATACAAAGGAAAATGGACTGTGAAAGATCATGGAAATATCATCAAAAACAAGACAAAATATCTTGGTGTAATTCTCACAAAACACTTCAAAAACTTGTATAATAAAAAAGTTAACACATTTAAGAAATTGAAGAAAATATCAGAAGATGGAAAGATCTCCTCTGCTAAAGGTTTGGTAGTATTAATACAGTAAAAATGGTAATCCTACCAAAAGCAACCTAACAATCCCCACCAAAATTCCAACATAAATATTCACAGATTTTGAAAGGACAATTTCAGCTTCATATGGAAACACACACACACACACACACACACACACACACACACACACAAATGCCAGGATAGCTAAAACAATTCTAAATAATCAAAGAACTGCTGATGATATTTCCATCTCCAATTTCAAGTTGTACTATAAAACTACACTAACTAAAAAGCATGATATTGGCACAAGGCATATATGTTGATCAGTAGAATCCAATTGAAGACCCAGACATAAATCCAAACATCTATGGGCAACCAATCTTTTATAAAGAAGCCAGAAATACACACTGCCAAAAAGAGACAGTATCCTCAACAAATGGTGCTAGTCAAACTGGATAGCTCTAGTAGAAGAATCCGAAGAGAACCATACTTATTACCCTGAACAAATGACTGAAAATAGACGGCAACACAAAACCAGGTACACTGAACCTGATAGAGAAGAGTGTGAGGAATAGACTTGAACTCATTGACACAGGAAAGGACTTTATGAATAGAATACTAATAATACTGGAACTAATAATAGCTATTGATAAACAGAATTTCATCAACGTGAGAAACTTGTACACAGTGAAGGACAATCATTTGGAAAAAATTACCAGGGCTCATTTCTGATATATGTAACTAGGAGACTGGACATCAAGAAAGTAAATTAAAATGGAGTATATATCTAAATAGAGAAAACTCAAATGATCGAGAAATACTAAAAAAATGTCCAGTGTCTGTTGGACTGCGAAAGGGTATACTGGTTCATGGTTGGGCAGGTGTCTAGAACCCCGAGACTCTGCGTGAGAACCAGCAGGAGTTCGACATGCCCCCAGAATCCAGGGTCCTGAAAAGCAGTCTAGTCTCCATAGAATTACATTGCTCAGTCACATAGGCCAGACTATAGGCCTCAGTCCCTAAGGATTTACATACTAATGAAGGCCAGACATTTTACTTAGTATTTTTTTAAAAAACTTAGTTGAAACTTCCATACCATATTTTGATCATGATCGCTCTTTTCCTCCGTCTTCCCAGTTCCACTCCCCCTTTTACCCATTCATTTTTTTTCCTTTTTATTTTTTGTTTAAGTCCATCACATCCAAGTTGTTCTGTGCATACATTCTTAAGTGTGTAGCTTTCCACTGAAACATGGTCAACCTTTCAAGAGCCCCTCCCTTTTACAAAACTGTCTCTCCCTCAGCTTCTAGGCTCCAACAGCTGGTTGGGTGTGAATGGGACTTCTCATCCACTTTTTCTCTCAACTTTTGGATTGTGTCTGCCTTAGACTTATACAGTTTTTGGGCATGATGTCACAATTTACTGGAATTAATATGTATAACTGCCTGCTGTATTCAGACAATATTGTCTCCTTGTGGTCAGTTATCACCTCTGGATCAGACTTTCTTTCTGCTTCTGTAATGAGCCCCTAACCTTGAGAGGAGGATTGTGATACAGTTGTCACAGTAGGGCTGAGTACTTCATGGTCTCTTATGCTCTGCACCTTTACAACATGTTGATTTCTGTATTACTCATAGTATTTTTGTTATGTTTCATAACTACCAATTTTGAATGAAAAATCCAAGTGTTAGTCATAGCACTTTTGATTGTGATTTGGAACAAGTTAAGGACATCCCTGAGTATCAGGATCAGTATCTATCGAGCTGGATGAAGCTCTCTTTTACCTTGGTTTATGAATTTTTCCTAGTTAGCACAAAGGTTGAGATCATACCAAAAGGAAAACATTGTGCACCGTTCCTCCTGGAGCGATATATAGGTGGTGTAAATATCAATGATATATGTCTATAGTTAATTCTGTCTGAGAGAGACTTTAAATCATGCAGATTACATCAGACTCCTCATGGAGGGAAGCAATGGCCTTGCCCTCAGGTTGTAAATCTTTGCAAGGTAGGATTTCAATGTGTAAAGGTACGTATTATGTACTTCAGAGTCCATCTTATGATCCAACGCTTTCTTATACCTGATTTTATTGGTGAAATGTCCTAAACTGCCGCTAAAGTCCAACTGTGTCAGAATCATAGACATTAGGCTCATGCAATCAAACTTAAAACGAATTTTACCAAAAAAAAGAAAGGAAGAAAGAAAAAAAGAAAGAAAGAAAGAAAGAAAGAAAGAAAGAAAGAAAGAAAGAAAGAAAGAAAAATAAAATCTGGAATTTAACCAGTTTGGAATAACTCTCCTGTGGTACCGTAAGACATAAAATATATATATATATATATATATATAAAACTTAAAGGAAACTATTCCAAATATCCACTTTTTAAAATAAATTAAATTTGAGAAAAATAAAGCAGGTTGATATTGGAGTCATTTCAGGGGTATCACTGAACACTTGAAATCAAAAGGCAGGAATCAATCAATGCCAAACACTCCAAACCAAGCAACTGACACCAAAACCACTTATGTATAATTTCTCAATACTGAAACATGGAAATAGAAAACCAGGGAAAATTTATGTTATTACAGATATATTTTTAAAAGATAAATTTTAAACTGAGTCATGGAGTTATATTGGAAAATTTACTTTTGTAATTCTTAGCCTGTTTATCTTAAGAAAAATTACAGCATCCTTTCAAGAGGACTGTTGCTACATTTTTCTATTTATGAATTATAGCTTCCAAAATTCTTACTACCGTTCTAAAGGAATTGAAATGTTGTCTTAAAATTCATATAGAAGGATACATTAAACAGTAGTGATATGGTGATTTAGTTTTACACAAAACACCCTGCCTTCTAGAATTGGCTATTCTTTAGTATTAAGTAATATAACCCATTATTATTTACAGGGAAATCCTATAGTCTTTTTTTTTTGAGTATTCTACAATGCTAAAAATGGAGATTCAATTTTCTCCATTGTTTTATTTCAAAATATTTCTCCCTCTGTTGGAAGAATAAAATATTCACTACTGTGTGTCCTGAAGTTGACTCTTTTCTTCTTCATTCCTCACTATGTGCCCATAATATTTTCTTTCACCTTGTTAGCCCATTTTCAATATGAATAACAAGTATGTCCAATGTTTTAGGAGAAGAGGGGGTAAATTATAGATGCTAGAACTGCACAGAGTAACACAAAGTCAAATCAAAGTGCTGCTCAGATTTTCAATGGTGATTCTCTACACAGAGATTTCATATTTCTGAGCTACGGGTCTCTTGCACGTGCATGTGATAATTCTCTTAAGGGCTTATACAAAAAGAAATCAAACTTTAATAAACTAAATTAATGAGTGAATCATCCCAGAAATACACTTTGCCACATCTGTCCTTTTTCAAGACAAAGGACCTCCAATAACTTTCATCATTAAAATGTGATATAATTCTTACATAGAGTTACAGAAGAGCAAGAAGAAAAGTGCAGTCAGAAAATAACGTGCAAATGTTACAGTCATTTTGTTTGACATTCAACTTTCAAAACAAAAATTTGTAATAAAGGAGAAATATTTCTTCATTCTTTCTTTAATTGTGATTGCAGAAAAAACAGATAAAAGTTTAGTGATCAATACAGGAGGCTGACTTTCTGATGAGTGATGCTTGTTCTTGATTTTTACCTTAGGAGGAGAGAGAGAGAGAGAGAGAGAGAGAGAGAGAGAGAGAGAGAGAGAGAGAGAGAGAGAGAGAGAGAGAGAAAGAGAGAGAGAGAGATTTATTCACATTTTAACAGACATTTTTGTCTTCACATGATAAGTAAAACACATCTGACAAGAATATTTGCCAAATAGAATTTACAGTTGCAAGGTATGATATATTTAACAGTGAAAGTGTAACAGTTTATGTAAATTACTCACTGGAATTTAAAAGCAATATATTCTTCCCCTAGTGAAGGAAAGATAAAGAAGGGAACAATTTGTTTCAAGTGAAGATTAAAACTATCCTCAGTGAAATAATGGCAACCTATTGTTGCTTTAGTCAATTTCAGATCCATTCATATATTCCAAGAAGATGTTTATAATAACAGTAAGAAATAAAATATTCACTTACCACTATTTTAAAGAGGCAAAAAGATAAAAGGAACAACAATGATGGAAATATTTTTAAAGATGTTATGAACATTTATTTATGTTTGTGTGCTAAAAGATATATTAAACACAGAAAAAGCCTACTTTGTAACTATATTTTTAAAAACTTCCTCCTATTCAAGATCTTTCTCAGGGCAACTTTAACATCTCTATTTCTCAAGCTATAAATTAAGGGGTTCAACATAGGAACCACAATGGTATAAAAAATGGAAGAGATTTTTCCTTGATCAATTGATACAGCAGAGGAAGGTTTCAGGTACATAAATCCACACGATCCAAAGAACAGAGAAACAGCAATTATGTGCGAACTGCAGGTGCTGAAGGCCTTGGACCTGCCCAGAGTGGATCTTATTTGAAAAATGTTAGATAGTATAAAGCCATATGAGATAAAGATGATGGCACTGGGCAGAATGATGTCTTTGCCCCCTACAATGAAGATTTCTGTCTCATTGACATAGGTGCTGGTACAGGAAAGCTGCAGCAAAGGAAGGACATCACAGAAATAGTGGTTGATGATGTTTCCATCACAGAAAGTCAGTCTGAGCATGCAACCAGTATGGATCATAGCATCAGAAAATCCCATCAAATATGAACCAAGTATGAGATAAGAACATACCCTTGGGGACATGGCAGTGTTATACAACAGTGGATTACAGATAGCAACATAGCGATCGTAGGCCATTGACACCAGTACATAACATTCAGAAATTATGAAAAAACAAAAGAAGTAGAGTTGGGACATACATCCCACATAAGAGATAAGATTCTTCTTTAGAATGAAATTCATTAGCATTTTTGGTGTAATTACAGAAGAATAGCAGAGATCTACAAGAGATAAGTTAAAGAGGAAAAAGTACATGGGAGTATGTAGGTGAGCATTTAACACAATTAAAATTATCAAAGTCAAATTACCAAACACTGTGATAATATACATTAATAGAAACAGTAAGAAAAGAGGCCTTTGGAGGTCAGGCTGGTCTGTTAATCCCAAAAGAATGAAATCTGTCACAATAGAGCCATTTACTAGAGCCATCATTCTGTAAGGGAATCTGTGGACAGAAAAAAATATAGCAAAATTGGACAACAGAATAGATTTGCTAACCATATCTTCTCCCCATAATATGAGGTATATGCTGACTGTATCTGAAAGTACTCAGCATTAAATTAAAGAATAGCTTGTCAACTATGGTGGTGAGTGCCTGTTGTTCCTAGCACTTGAGAGGTAGACACAAGAAGCTCAGGCCATTAAGGTTACTTAGCCTATACAGTAAATTTGAGTCCAGTGTAGACTACAAGAGACTCTGTTTCCAAAGAAAGAGATAGATGATAGATAGGTAGATAGATAGATAGATAGATGATAGATAGATAGATAGATAGATAGATAGATAGATAGATAGATAGATAGATAGGTTACTTAGCCTATACAGTAAATTTGAGTCCAGTGTAGACTACAAGAGACTCTGTTTCCAAAGAAAGAGATAGATGATAGATAGGTAGATAGATAGATAGATAGATAGATAGATAGATGATAGATAGATAGATAGATAGATAGTAGATAGATAGATAGATAGATAGATAGATGATAGAATCAAAAGAAAAATTTCCATGCTACAGGTTAATATACATCTTATGCATCATATTAGAGTCTGAAAAATTAAAACCAACAGATTATCACTAATTTCACCATCAAAAAATGATGCCATATTCTAATCTAACTGCTAGAAAATCCAGGGGAGAAGGATGAAGTGGGATAGGAAGGATAAAGTTGTCATTATCTCTTTGTTGTAGGATGCTGGTATCAAAGAACAATAGCCATTACTTTCACCATCAGAAAATGATGCCATATTCTAATCTAACTGCTAGAAAATCCAGGGGAGAAGGATGAAGTGGGATAGGCAGGATAAATTTGTCATTATCTCTTTGTTGTAGGATGCTGGTATCAAAGAACAATAGCCATTACCTTCATGTTAAAAGGAGCTATAATTACCCTGCAAAAGACCCTCCGTGCCTGCATCTTGATATTCCCTCACAAGAGAAGAGAGAGGTTCAGTAGATCATCACATGAAATTCCAGCTATTCATTCTGTATCCCACTTGTACATAATCTTGCCTCTTTTTACATGGTGTTTTGATGTACTGCCTATATAGAATATGGAAGGTTAACTAGAGGGGAATTACACCTGTGTAGCTATGGGGCAGCAATCATCCATGCCAGTATAAGACTTTTCACTGATGTCGCTATGCAGTGGTCATCATACCTCATCCATGCTGTTGTAAGTCCAATAAATTCATTGGTTCTTAGATTTTTCACTTTGGTAGAATCATTACTTTGATAGAGTTCTGGTGCCCTATCTTAGCTAAGTAGCTAAGTTCATATCTCCCTTGGAAACGTTCATACATCACTAACCTACCAAGTTTTTATGACTTCCCTTTCTCCCCAGTATAGCTATCAACATTAGACACCTGGTGATGAAGTCCCAGATTGGAGTCATTAGAGTTGGAAGCATGGAAGCAGATCTTAAGAAAGGTTACGGTACTGCCTATGAGATAAAGAAACTCACGAATGTAAGAGTGTGAGACATGCTCATGGAGTGGAAACTTACTGATAAAGACTGCAAACACTCTGTTCAGCGTTTGAATGTTCTCTTCTCACCTTCAAGATGCTTATAGGAAAGGCACTGAATTTTAGGGCTTCAAGAAATAGAACATAAAGTGTGCATATTCAATCAGTATACAACATTTTTTCCACAGTAAATCTACTTTGGAAATATATAAAAGACATTGAAGGAGAAACATCTAATGCTTTATACTGAAATGCAATTATATTCACATAATCAGGCTATAGTTTGTTAGTTGCTGTAAGAAAATCAAACCAAATGCAAACCAAAAGTTTAAATGTTTCAGGTATGCAACAAGATTGGGTTCTAATGTTCAATGTGTTGACTATGATTAGCTTATACTTTGAATTTCCTAACAGGACTTATCCTATGATATCGTCTCATTGAATGTATGCACAAAAAATACAAAAAAGCATCTTGTATACAGGGAACATATTTGAATTAGCTTCACTGTTGAGTCATTTTACAGTGAATATTTTAGTCGAAACATAAAGTTCTAATTGTCGTATATACTATTTAAAAGTTAGAGGTGTACCAATGACATGGTTAAATAAAAAGCACAATAATTAGTATAAATTACTAATTAGAATTAGTTGAGAACTTACCCTTCTTATGAGAGAAATCATTGTTGTTTCCTTATTGCTACAGTTCATCCTTATCATTGTAATATTAGGCTACGGGGCTTCAATTCCTTTATTCATAAAGTGATGTAGAATAAAAATAATCTCTCCTATTCCCAGATATCATTCTGATCTATTAGTCATTACTAATACTTCTTAATCTTCTGAGATATAATAGGAAATAAAATAACCCTTCTTATCACAATTGCCCCTTGATGAACTTATGTATTTTTTTTTTTAAATAGAAAGGTAGACTCCGGGTTTTGCCTTTTAGAGAAGAGATGCTAGGCATATATAGAAAATGAAGCAATTGCATTTATATATATATTGCAATTATGTATCTTTAGTCACCTGGGGACTCAATGTTTTAGGCTGTTCTGGACTTCTCTTCAGGGATTATACACTGTCCAATCTCGAGCAATAGTGAATTTCAGTCTTCCTTTATATTTCATCCATAAAATAAAATCGGTAGTGCTTCACAGAGTCTAACCCCACATTTCCATATTACTTTACCAAAGATTTCTTTCCATTAATATGCTAATATATTTCAGGTATTATCTAACTGATATTTCTCAAAAATCACTTTTAAGTTAGTTTCTGTTATAGTTGGTGTGTACTTACAGTGTTCTGGATCAAACTCAATTCCTTATATATGCTCCTTCTATGACAGGGTTATAAGCCCAGCTCTCCAAGATCACAATTTTTTAGTTTAAATTTTTTTTGTTTTAAACATTTTAATAAAACATAATTACATCAATTTCCTCATTTACTTTTCTCCCCTCAGCTTCTCTATTCAAATTCTCATCCCTCCAACTCCTTCTGTGTCACACCACATTCTCCAGTTGAATGCCTTTTCTTGCCAGATTATTGTTACATGTGTACATACTCCCATAAGCATGTACACGCACATATACACATATATAATTATAATCTGCTGGGTCTTTTTTTGTTGTTGACCACTTTGCATTGGACAACCAAGTATTTGGAGTTTTGGACAGTCCTTGTGCTTGACCTTATCAGAGGCCAAAAGAAGCAATTAAAGAAGATTCAGCCTTAATAGCCGTAAAGCCCCAGGATAGACGCAATCAACAGAGCAGCTGAGGCTTTGCACTATGAACAGAGCACAGGAGAAGCTATTGTTGGAAATGCAACTTAGCTAGGTATAGTAGGAGACCCAATATTTTGTAGACACCAATACTGTGGGACAGCCACCAAGAAAAGCATTCCCCATGGATTAGAGCCCATCTGAGCCTACTAGACAACCTGTGCATGTTGAGGAAAGCCACCTGGAGATATCTCAAGGACCTTTAGTGAATCTAAGACTCCATTAAGTGCAAACTATCAGGAAGTGGTCCAATGTAATCAACCTACCATCAGGTCACTAGCTGTTTTATAGCAATTTGACCCAAGTTAGAGCCATCTGAGATAATTCAACTGAGAAATTTCCAGCATTTCAGGCATTTTTTAATAATTATTATTATTAGTGATTGATGTGGGAAGACCCAATCCATTGTGAGTGGTGCGATTCCTGGGCTGCTGGTCCTGGGTTCTATAAGAAAGTCCCATCAAAATTACAACTCAGTTTTTCACAGATATAGAAGGAGAAATTCTCAAATTCATTTGGAACAACAAAAAACCCAGGATAGTGAAAACTATTCTCAACAAAATGAAAGAACTTCTGAGAGAACCACTATCACTGAATACAGAACTTGGAGTATCCATGATACAACTTACAGACCATATGAGCTCAAGAAGGAAGACCAAAGTGTGGATTCTTCAGTTGTACTTAGAAGGGGGAACAAAATAATAATGGGAGGTAGAGGGTGGGAAGGACTTGGGAGGAAGAGTGTAGAGGGAAAGAAAAAAATGGGGGGGCAGGATCAAATGTGGGAGGAGACAGGGGAGATGTACAGAGAAAAATTGAACAGAGGTGTGTAGCAGTGGGGGATGGGGAACAGGGTAGCCAACAGAAAGTATCAGATGCCAGGAAAGCAAGAGGCTCCCAGGACCCAACAGAGATGACATTGTCTGAAAAATCCAACAAAGACGAGACAGAACCTGTTTGAAGGATGGTGCCACTCATTCTTTTCAAAATTTTAACCCAGAATTGCTTCTGTCTAAAGGAAATATAGCGACAAAGAGTGGAGCAGAGACTGAAAGAAAGGCCATCTAGAAACTGCCCCACCTAGGGATCCATCCCACCTTCAGACACCAAACCCAGACACTATTATGGATGCCAAGAAGTACTTTCTGACAGGAGCCTGATATGGATGTCTCCTGGGAGGCTCTGTCATAGCCTTACCGATACAGATGTGGATGCTTGCTGCCAACCATCAGACTGAGCACGGGATTTCCAGTGGAGGAGTTAGGGGAAGAGCTGAAGGAGCTGAAGGAGTTGAAGGGTTTCAAACCCCATAGAAAAAGCAACAATATCAACCAACCAGTTCCCCCACAGCTTCCAGGGACTAAACCACCAGCCAAAGAATACACATAGAGGGACCAATGGCTTCAGCTGCACATGTAACAGGATGGCCTTATCTGACATCAATGGGAGTAGATGTCCTTGGTCCTGTGAAGGCTTGATGCCCTAGCATAAGGGAATGCAGGGTTGATGAGGCAGGAGTGGGTGGGAAGGTAGGGGAGCACCCTCATAAAAGCAGAAGGAGGGGGACTGGGTTAGGAGTTTTTGAAGAGGAACTTGAGAAGGAGCATAACATTTGAAATGAAAATAAATAAAACAACCAGTAAAATATTTTTTAAAAAAAGAATTGCCATAGTAGATCAGAATTGAATATAGCTTCCAAAGGAGAAGTAAACCCACTATGCTTAGACAAGTTCCTATAGTAACATTGTTCTATTTGTATTCAATCTGTAACTTGTTTAGTTCTATTTGTTAGTTCTAATTGTTAGTCCTAATTATGAAGGATTAGAAAAGTATGTTTGTACTCTAGTATATATATAAAGAATTTTGATGGCAAAAAAAAAATAGCAGCAGCAGCAAGCCAGTATTTTTTGCTAAATTTTTCCAGATGACTTAAGTGAAAAACAGAAGTCAGAAAGAAAGAAGTCTTGGATAGAAAGATCTACTGACATTGTTTCACTCATGTGGGTGGATTGATGATCAAATGCCTTACACCACACAGACAGGTAAGAGAATGTCCACAGGAAGAAGATGGCTGCATTCTTTACAGGGGTGGACATGAAGACCATGAGTACGTTACCTTCCATCTCATATTTCCTCCCTTCCAGAGTTGCCTTGTCCTGCTGCAAGGGAAGCTGGGCAATGTAGTTGTCATTGCAAATTTTAAGAGGATACAGGGAAGCCAGGGCTGTTTCTCTGTTGTGGAGGGTCTTTCTTGGAAGGAATAGTTCTGAAGTTTCTGGAAGACTTCTGGAAGAGGGTCCTCTAGATGTTTAGCAGAAGTTTTTACTCTATGGGCTAGGCTGGAGTACCTGATTGCCATTCTGCTTCCTGAAGAGACTTTAAAATAGTTGTGAGAAGGCTGACTGTAAGAAAACACCTTTGTTATTGAAACAGAATGAGTGGTTGTCTGGGATCTTTGAGGGAGTAGAAGTAGTGCAGGTGTGAAAGACAGAGTGGATCTGTGAGAGAAAGCTGGCCTCGAGTCCATTCAGGGTAACAGTGACTGGTGTTAGCAGGATTACCACATAAAAATGAACTAGCAGAAGTAGCAGGGAGATTAAGAGCATCAAAGAAAGTAATCAGGAGAAAATAGAGAACTAATGTAAAGTATTGCATCTGTTCTGAGGTGAAAGAGAGGTACGCTTTTAGCCAGTTTGTCCACAACATCTCAAAGGTCTTCTTGCAGATTTTACTAAAAGCAAATGGAGTTGTAGTAGAGTGAGAAATGTTGGGACAGTTTATGTGGCACATTGTGTATGGGTAAATAGTGAAGTTCAGTAACTAAAGCATTTATAAGACATAGTAAAACACACATATGAGGATACTAAGGAAGAAAGGTGTGATCCTGGAAAAGAGCAAGAATAATAGGAAACCAAAAGCTCATACATAGGAGTCTTTTGGTCGAATTTATCTCTGTCCTCAGGTTCTAGGCACCATTTCAAACCTGTTAGGATTTGTTCACATAAAAACAGTATATTTGCAGAGGAGAATACACCTCCAATTCTCAACAGGGGTCAGATACAGTCCTTTTAAATTTTGGAATACTACAGCAGTTGTGTTTTTCCTGAAGAATGGTAAGATGATCTGAGATAATGAATAGAGAAGTTAATTGAGGCAAACAAGACTTAGGTTGAAATGTTTTAGTTCTGGAGTCCCAACTCAAAGTCCAGAGTAGCAAAAAAAGGGATGAGTCTGTTGGTTTTTCGTCCATTTTTCTCTTTCCTGAGTCCACATGAACTACTTTTAGAGTCTTTGGGGCCTTGATCTTTCTTGTAACTGCTTTGAGTACACAGTTAGAGCACCTCAGAAGTGGGTCCTTCAAAGGAGCCACGATAAAACTTAACAGTTAATATCCGGAAGGTAAGTCTATAAAGAATAACTATACAGCTTTGTAGTTAACTGTCAGGCTGTGGAAGGGTATCTTAGTTCTTGGGTTGGCATGGGCCTGGAACCCCGAGATGGCAGGTGTTCGACCACATCCCCAGAACCCAGGGCCCTAACATGCGGTCTCATCTCCATTTAACCTGTACCGTCAGTCATGTAAGACACAGGTAGAGGGCGTGACTAACAGGCCTCTGCCTCGAGAGATTTACATATTAATGAGTTATCTAAAGGCAGGGGTGGGGTGGGGTGGGACATAGCTAATTAAGTTATCCCTTCCCAGTCCCTCCTCTTTCCCACTCTCTATATAAGCAAGC